CTTCTGGACTCATGGTCCTCGCTCATCATCAACCTTAATCGAGATCTGCCCCGTCTCTCACTCGAAGATGTGAAGCGGGAAATCTTACAAGAAGATTTCCGCCGTCGCGAATTGGCGGGTCCCGATGGTGCCGGAGTTGCAACCATGGGCTGTGGGCACGGCCGTGGAAGGGGCAGAGGGCGAGGAGGAAGATTTGGCAGCAGTAACTTCAATGGAGGCCATGGTAATGGAGGATATAGCAGCAACAACAACAACAATGGCTACGGGCGTGGGCGCGGTCGATTTGATGGCGAATGCCACTTTTGTCACAAGACCGGCCACATGTGGAGAGATTGCTTCAGATTTCCTAATGGATGGACCCCTTCTCAAGGCCAAGAGGGCAGAGGAGCAAGGGGAGGAAGAGGCAGAGGTCGTGGAGGCCGTGGTGGTCGTGGAAGCGAAGCGGCAAGCATGAAAGGTGGAGACTACGACAAGGACTCGAGTGAAGATCGATACCCGGGCCAATTCTTCTTTGTCTCCACGCAAGCGGCAGCTGCAGCAGGAGGTGTGGATGGCTTTGAGGAGCCAGCTACTGTGGGAAAGGTCACCCTTCACTCTCTGGACTTTTGGGTGATCGATAGCGGCGCCACCTACAGCATGACACCTCGTGCGGACTTGCTCACCGAACTCGAACCGTCGCCGGTCAAGCATGTTACATCGGCTTGGGGCAGCGAGCAGAGGTGAAAGGCATGGGCAAGGCCATGTTCAAGGGTGCTGATAGGAAGATGGTGGGCCTCAAGAACGTGCTTTGGGTGCCCAACCTTGCAGCCAACCTGATCTCTGTTCGGTGTTTGCAAAAGGCCGGCATGGACACATCTTCTAAGGGTTCCAAAACCTATACCGCAAGGCTTGGTGAGCGGAAGCTTTGGGACCTTCATGAGGACAGGGACATCTACAATGAGATGTGGCAAGTCCCAGTGGTCCCCATGCCTAAGGGAAGGCAAGTGGCAGCAAGCGTCAGCACCAAGAGTGAAGCGGTTGGTGGCGGTGATCACGGAAAACAAAGTGACACCAAGAGTGACTCGAAGGAGTGCAACCTTGGAGAGACCAGCAAGGCGTGTGAACCCAAGGAGAGTGGTGCAGCAGCCAAAGGTGGTGGAAATGAGAAGGATAAGCCTAAGATCAGCAAAGCAGCAGCGGCAAAGGAGAAAGGAGAGAGCTTGTGGGGCACGATTGCGAGTGCCGCTTTCTCCAACCCGACTTCCGCTACGGGAGAGTGTGATTGGCTGACCTTGCATCGGCGAATGGGGCATGTGGCATTGCCCATTTTGCAGCAGATTGTTAAGCAAGAGATGGTCAGTGGGATACGTGTCAAGGGGGAGCCCAATGAGGTGCTTGGCTGTCCAACATGCATGCAAGCCAAGTACACCCGCTACCCGTTCCATAGCTCGGAGACAACGGCGAAGGCACCACTTGATGAGGTGGTGATGGATGTGGTGGGCCCCTTGAAGCTTGGAGCTGCTGGAGCAGAGTACTTCCTCACCATTGTGGACGTATACACTCGCATGACTTGGGTGTATGTGCTGCCCAAGAAGAGTGATGTAGCTGAAACGGTGAAGACCGATTGGTTGCCGATGGTGGAGCGGCAACAAGACCGGCTTGTGAAGGCAATTCGCACTGACCGTGGGGGAGATTTCCTGAGCAAGGACTTCTCAACTTGGCTGACGAATCAGGGCATAAGGCACTCTCTTACCATGCCCTACTCTCCTGCAATGAACGGCATCGCCGAGCGTGCGAATCGGACACTCACGGAGACGGCTCGGGGACTTCTCATTGAAGCCGGTCTACCCAATTACTTTTGGCCGGATGCGGTGCGGCATGCTTGTGTGGCCAAGAACAGAGCCTTGACTCATGTGGGAGAAGACAAATGGGTGCCCTATGTGGTGTGGATTGGAAGGAAGCCTAAGGTGGATATGCTTCGGGTGTTTGGGTGCATGTGCATGGCACTTGTGCCTAAGAAACTTCGGCACAAGAAGCTTGATGCCAAGGCAACATGGGCCGTGCACGTGGGCATGGCCCAAAACAGCAAGGGATGGCTTCTATGGGACCCATTTACCAAGAAGTTCCTGGTGAGCAGAGATTGCAAGTTCATGGAGAACTTACCGTAAAAGGAGTGGAAGGCGGAGAACCAAGCGAAGATTGGTGTGCGGCTTGGAGAGGTGAAGAGGACCGGCTTGGAGCATGTGGAGCTGCCCTTGGAGCTGAGTAGCAGCAGCACAATCACGAGGCAATCTCCCCAAATGAATGGGGATGAGGAGGAGGAGGAGGTGAAGCAAGGTAATGAGCGTGCACCGCCACTTCCGCCTCGTGCTACAAGTGCTCGCGGGAACCGACCGGACTTGCCGCAAAGCCATGAGAGCATTCAAGTCCCTGCAGCAGAGGAGGAAGGAAGGGGGAGAAGGAGGACTCAGCCCCCCAATAGGTTGAGCTATAAACGGCTTGGAGGACCAGCCAACTCAACCTTGACCGGTTCGGCTCTCATGCTAGGTGATGATGCGGAAGATGAAAGCGAGGAGTGCGCTTTTGCCTTCTTCTCTCCGGTGGAGATACCGGGGGAGCCTACAAATCCCAAGGAGGCTTGGGAGGGCCCGAAAGGGAAGGAGTGGAAGAAGGCCTCAGATGAAGAAATGGGGAGCATCATCGGGAACGACACGTTTGACTTGGTGAACCTACCTCCGGGGCGTAAGGCGATTTCTTCCAAGTGGCTCTTCAAGCGCAAGACCGACGCCGACGGCAACATTGAGCGCTACAAGAGCAGACTTGTAGCCAAGGGGTACCAGCAGCAGGAGAAGAAGGAATACAATGAAGTATATGCTCCTGTGGTGAAGGGTACAACCCTTCGAACTCTCTTCGCCGCGGCGGCCATCAAAGGATGGGTGGTGAAGCAAATGGACATTGTAACGGCCTTCCTCAACGGCGTTTTGGAGGAAGAGACCTACATGGAGCAGCCAGAGGGGTACAATGATGGGAGTGGCAGAGTGTGGAAGCTGAAGAAAGCACTCTTTGGCCTCAAGCAAGCCCCTAGGCAATGGTACATCAAGCTGCGGGAAGTCTTGGAGGCGATCGGCTTCACTCCCTCAACGGCCGATCAATCCTTGTTCATGCTTGGCGAGGGGGAGCAGAGGAGCTTCATGGTGGTTTATGTGGATGAAATCCTCATATTCTCACCCTCCTCTGACCTTGTGAAGGAGGTGATGCTGAAGCTTCATGACAAGTTCAAGTGCAAGACCCTTGGTGACGTCAACTACTACCTTGGGCTTCACATTGAGCGAGATGTGGAGAAGCGGTGGATGCGAGTGCATCAAAAGAAGTACTTGGAGACCTTGGCTGCAAACTTTGGGAAGAGTGAAGGTCATGTGGCTACTCCTCTTCCCTCAGGGTTCAAGTGTGTGAAAGGACCAGCGGAGGAAAGTGTTGGTGAAGAGGAGAGGCGGCGTTTTCACTCCTTGGTGGGCAGCCTCATGTATGCGGCCGTTCACACAAGGCCGGATGCAGCCTTTGCTACCAGGCAACTGGCTAGGGTTGTCCAATGCCCTAATGAGGAGCAGGTAGCAGCTGAAGAGAGGGTGGCCAAGTACCTTGGCCAAACAGCAACTGTTGGACTGCAATACTCCGCGGCGGCACAAAGGCGTCAAAAGGGTGCGGATGGAGTCGAACCCGGGAGGCTCTTTCTCACCGCCTTCTCTGATGCATCTTGGGCATCAGAACCAGAGGACATGACAAGTGTGGGAGGCTTCATCTGCTGTGTTGGTGGAGGGCCAACAGCTTGGGAGAGCAAGAAACAAGTGGACCAAGCATTGAGCTCGGTGGAGTCCGAGTACATGGCTCTCTTCCGTGCCATAAGAGAGGTTGTGTGGCAGCGGCGTTTGCTAGCTGAATTGGGGGAGGAGCAGCAAGGACCTACCCCACTCTATTGTGATAGCCAGGGTGCTATTGCATTGGCTAAGAACCCCGTTCTTCATGGCCTTACCAAGCACATGAAGGTGAAGTGGCATTGGGTGAGGAGCATGGTAACCTCGGGAGAAGTGGAGTTGCACTACGTGAAGACGACGGCGCAGCCTGCTGATATGATGACCAAGAGGCTGGTTGAGCAGCAGCATTGGAAGTGTTGCAAGCTTGCTGGGATGGCTCTGAACTAAGGGGAGCAGATTCTATGGCCAGCAATCCGAGGGGGAGTTTGTTGGTGCAACCCTATGGCTTGCACTCGGCTTGTCGTCCTTGTTTGTGTGTGTGCATGCATGGCATGGAATGAAATGTGAGTCTATGTCATTGCTATCCAGTGCTTGTGTGTGTGTTTGAATGGTGTATCACAATGTGGTTTGTCTCGGTCAAGACATTAGCGGGTTTTTACAACTCGCATGTCAAGTCGTCGTTTGTGTGTTGCATGTGTTTTTTCTATTTTGTCGAGTGTGAAGTGTCCATCGTGTCGCAGGTGTGTGCAGCAAGCCCCCATCAACTCAAGAAGAATTTATCTTGCAGATCCAAGAACAAGAGCTCAAGATTTCAAGCCCAAGGGACGCGGATAAATATTAAATAGAGAAAATAGTAACGTTACTTCGTGTAGTGTTACATTTCACTTGGTGTAGCCCCTTGGAGGGTTGGTTTCGAGACTCTTCATGGTTGGGGACTCTATGGTGGTGTACCACCAACCTGGACCTCGGCTCTTGGGGTATGTAGAGGCTGGGAACCATCTCCCTCTCGAATTCTTCTTGCTAAGTTTGTACTTCAAAGACTATAGTGGCTGCTATACCTCCTGCTAGTCAAACCGCCATAGCGTCGTCACATCTTCATGGAATTTTATGATTCAACTTGCTGCTGATAGACGATAGCCACGCGCTCCAGATCCAGCTTACAGAGCACCGTTTGAGTCAGCCAGCAGATCGTCATCAATATTTGAAGCCGTCTGACGGAAATCCGACTGTGCTCTCTATCTCTCATTATAGGCACATCTGAGCCTATTGTGACTATAACACCATCGCCTATTCCCTCCCATCACCTAGGGCTGGGGAGAAGAGGTATGGGGAATGGAGGAAAGAGGAAGGCGGAATGGGAAAACGGGGTAGGCGGAATGGGGGAAAGGGGTAGGCCGAATGCAGGAAAGAGGTAAGCAAATTGAGGGAAGGTGAGGGACCGGAATGGGGGAGGGTGGGGGTCTGGGAGACAGGGTGGCTACTTAGGTAAGGGAAGAAGAAGGGGCAAGGCGAGGAGGAACAAGGGAGAAGAGTTACCATGAATGAAAATGATATATCCCCCCACGACCCCCTCCCCCCCTGCGTCCCACCCGCTCCATCCTCACCCGGTATCCCCACACCAGGTCGCGTGACGCAGTCCTAGCTGCCCCGCCTCCTGTTACCCTCTCTTCCTCTACCTTGCCTCCTCTCTCCCCTCTCATGGACCTCCTTTTTCAGACTGTCTTGCAACAAAACACTAGCCCAACCCTGTCGTCGAGCTCCAGTACAGCGGTCCCAACAGCAGCAGCAACAGCTGCAGCAGCACTTCCACCCACTGCAGCAGCACGAGCAGCAGCAGCCGTCGCTCCTTCCTCGCCTTCACCCACAGCAGCAGTAGCGGCAGCAGCAGATGCCGCGGTAGCAGCCGTCTCAGCAGCAGCAACAGCAGATGCATCCTCAGCAGCAGCAGCTGCAGTCCTCCTATTCATTTTCCACTCCTCCCTCCTCGAGGACTCCCACGAGGAGTTCCTCAACCTCCACCTGGATGATCCAGCCCTCCTACCCATCTCCCCTGACCTCAGCGGCACACCAGTCTTCGCCTTCTCCTCCGCCCCCACCATCTTCGTCCCCGCCACGTCCGAGGAGGCCATGGCGTGCCCTGACGCATTGAAGTTTCCAGAAAAAAACACCGCTATGGGTAGCGCGCATTGTATGCTGGCACTCTTTAAAAATAAAACACTCATACATATAGGTATCATTCCATCAGCAACGTGTACAAAGCAACCCAGTTGAAGAAGACCCCCCCTCTAGATCCATTTTACCATCTACTTACAGTATGCAGGTAATCAAGCTACTCGACATGCCCATTGGCTTCCCCAGCAGTCAACTTAATTCTCAAGGCACAGCGTAGCCCCAAAATCTCCTACCTAGTAGTAATACTCACCAAATCTACAAACACCAGGCAGAGCAGGAGTTAAAAGATGGCTGGGTGGGTGAGCCAAGCGCAACACCAGGTCATTTGGTGCGTCCAAGTAAGGGTCCTTCAAAAGTGCCACAACACCATTTAAAAAATCATGCGCTCCTCCTGTGACATCCTAGTAGAGGAGCCACTCTGCATACCCTCACGCTCTGCACGGGCCATTTCAGCAGTGAAGCCAGAGGAGCCACCGACTGAACTGCCAGTTTCCATGAAGATGGTGGATACTACCTTGATCACGTGTGCTCCAAAGGTTTCCTGCTTGACCTTCACCAGCTCTCCCAGCAGTTGACTCATGGAGGGACGGGAGGCCGCAGGCATGGCAGTGCAGGAGAGGGCAAGGTGGGCCAAGCGCAGCACGAGATCATTTGGAGCATCCAGGTAAGGGTCCTTGAACACTGCCACGGCACCGGACTCCACAAAGGGAGCAATCTGCCGGGTTGAAAAGGGAACACTCAAACCCATGAGGACCAATTACATGCTAGAATGCCGACAGCCTTGCGATGCCAAGGATTTGTTGGAGATCGATGGTCATCGGAATATGGCGTTAAGGATCTACCAAGCGCAATTGTGTTTCACTACTGTGCCTCACCCATTGCTTCAGGCTGATGTGGCTGTCCTCTTCCACATGCAGGGCCTTGCGTGCCGAGATGACAACCAGCATCACCACGCCAAAGCTGCAAACACCAAACATGCAAAAGGAGCAAGTTGACCAGAAATGGGTGTGAAGGGTTGTTTTTTCATCAGCACATACTGATGAATGACATTACAGTTTCTTCATCAGAACAGTGCAAATGCAAGCTACGAACATATACAAACTTTCTTCTAGAAAACAGCATGCTGCACCTGTAGACGTCTGCTGCTGTAGTGGCCTTATGAGACTTGTAGTAGGCTGGGTCCACATAGCCCGGTGTTCCCATCACTCGAGTGCCAGCCATAGACGTGCCCATAGTGGTGCCGCCAATGAGTTTCACAAGCCCAAAGTCTGCAATCTTGGCCTGTCCACCAATCACAATGGCACTATAGTAGCGTCAAGAAAGCATATAAGTAGATGACCCAATGACGTTGCAAGTTGACGCGTGCTAACAATATGAGAGAGAGAAAAGCTTTAGCTAGTGAACAGGCAATCGATGGTTGAAATAAGAGTCAGCACATGCCTGCATTTTTGCATCGAGGAGTAATTAGCTGGCTTGATGTCGCGATGTACAATGCCAAAGTCATGCAAATACAGAAGCCCCTTTGCCACTCTAATCAGAATGTCCAGCCGTTGCAGCAGCGAAAGAGGGGTTGGAGTGCCTGTAAAGAGACAGGCAAGAGAAATTTGATATTAAAAAAAAAAAGCTTACTATCGTTCATTGCTTGAGTTGATCCAAAGAAAAGAAACATTGTGTTTTGAACAGCGAATGTGAAGAGAGGCGGTGGATCAAATTTTCAAACTAGCATGTACAAAAGGATTAATATCTCTAAAGAAGCAGGAATACTGATCAACATACACTGACATAAAGAGAATAGCACATGGTAAAACAACCAGCAGAAGGGCTCACCAAAGAGTATGGTGAGAGGTGCGAGCAAGTTACCTGGTGCAATCCAGCTCTCAAGGTCTCGGTTGGCCATGAACTCATACACGAGCACCTGCTCCACACGGCTTGTGACTGTATCTAAATTGACACAGAAGCCCAGCAGACGCACCAGGTGTGGGTGGTGCTTCGATGCCATCTCCCTCACCTGACAGACGAGGGAGAGGGTTGGATTGACAAAGGAGTGTAGTAAGAGGGGGGCGAGTCCATACACGTGCATGTGTGTGTATGTGGGTATGTGGCCGGGGTGTGTGTGCAAATTATGTGGAAAATTTTGCCCTGCATGACTCTCATTGTAAGTCCAAAAGTAACACTACTCCAGACCTCTGTTAGAAAATCATTGGAGAAAATTCTGGATCGCTTTACAGCCCATGTGTCATCAGGATCATACGGAGACAAGCCCTTGTACACATCCCCAAAGCTGCCGCTGCCAATCCTGTTCCCCTCGGCCCAATCCGCTGTTGCGTTTGCCAGCTCTTCCAGAGTGAACTTCTGGCACACTTGCGGCTTCACCGCCTCCATATCCACCACCAAATCCCCTCTATCCTGCCATTGTGCTCCTGCTGCTCCTGCTGCTACAGCCACCGCTGCTGCCGCGGCTGCTGCTGCTTCTGGGTCCCTCTCCTCTACCTTGTATGCTTCTTTTGCTAACCCTGGTGCTGAGTATTGGGAGTGTAGTGAGATTAGGATTGTGCATGGTGAGAGCAATGGTGGATTCAGATAAGGGACATTCGGATTTTCTTTAATCTTACCTTGGAGTGCATTCTATTCTGCCAAATCCTTGTCCTCCTTACCTCTACTGTATGCCTCTAATTTCATTGATGAAAAGTTTTTTTCCAGGAAGATATAGGGAAAGTAGGGAGAGTGTGTGCAGCGGGGAGCATTGAGCCATGTGCATCGGTATGGTCTTGCCTTGGGGTGAACTCTCCGCTGCCAAGTCCTTGCCATCCACATCTGTTCCGGCATCTCCTCTTGCTGCTGCCTCTTTGGTGCGCCGTCTTTTGAGCAGCATCATACCCAGCAGCAGCAGCACGAGGATAGTCACCCCGCCTGCAGCAGCAATGCCAGCTATGGCGCCTACTGACAGTCCGCCCCCAGACTGGGAGGAAGAGGCTCTGGGTTGAGGCTGGGAGGGAGTGGCTGAAGATGGAGAAAGAGGTGGTGCAGAAAGTATGGGATGACAGGAGAGGTGTAGGGGATGGGAAACATTTCAAGTTGAGGAGAATGTAATGCCAGGAGAATGCCAAAGAAGTGATTTTTGAAGCGCCTACAGAATGGTGCTGCAAATAGATAGCAGAGATGTGTCCGGTCTTGACAAGACTCGGGGCCACGAGGAGCAGTTGATTGCCAATGGTTCCTGCCTCCAGATCGGTCCAGGCATGAAGTAAGCGACACAAGAGGAAGGAGGGAAGAGAGGGGAGATGGAAGTCAGGCAGAGGAGGGGGGGGGGGGGGGGCGGCTGGGGGTGGGGAGAGCTGAGAGGAGGGTATAAGAATGTGGACACATGATTGGTAAGAGAGTTCACACAAGAAAACAGGAAGGCAAGTTAATAGTATACTAGGAAAACGATTGTGTCTCACATGGTTATGGTGGTGACTTGTCACAGGCGGAGCAGAAGGAGCGAGCAACACTGCCGGCAGAAAGTGATTGAAGCAGTTTGTTGTACCACACAGGTGCTGGGTTCCAGCGGGCATGTGACAGCATTTCCTTCCACTCCTACTCAGTGCCCCCCATCATGTGGTCATGTTTTGAGAACTCTTAATACACGTTACCCACCACCACTTGTAGCAGTGGCACGAGTGCTGGTGGGACACATGGAGCTCGTAGTCATCCCAGCAAATCATATTCCAGAGGCTCGTAATAAGAACTCAACTGAGATATCCAAGGGACGAGGGTGGTGCCACGATACATGTGCTGCAGAAGCCAGGGCACTGCTGGCAGAAAGTGGTTGAATTGTCCTGTGGGACCATGCAGGTGCCGTAATCCGGTGGGCACGTGATTGTAGTTCCGTTAATCATCCTGCACGTGCAGAGAGAGTGATTGAAATGTTTAAAGTCCGAGATTGAAATTCAATCCACATAGTAATTTTCGTTGCACAATGATCTCTGCATTCTGGGGTTGCTTTGGAGTGAGACTAGTATGCCAGAGTTGTGAATGATCTGGCACTGACGTTAGATCAACGTACAAGTCCCCTAGACTGGTAAGACTGCCCATTGTTGGAGGGAGGTGGCCGGTGAGATTGTTTTGTCTGACATCCCTACAATGCAACAACACACCCCCGCTCTCCCCCCCCCTCTCACCCCCGTCCCCACGTAGACATGGACATGCACCAAAGTAGAACTGAAGAACGTTCCATGAAGATCGCTGATGACTATAGTGGCCATAATAGATTCAAAGTTTCGACAAAGATTTTCCATCATATCACTTTGAAAGGCGCTTATTTTTCATCACAAAAGCTAGAAAGGATGGCTTAAAATGTTGCATTTCTTGATCATTTTCACAACTTTGTGTCCACTGGATTGGTGTGAAAAATCCATCACAATGTCATTGGAAGGTCATGTGGCACATAGCAATGGATCATACGTTAATAAGGGAGATGAGAACATACAGGACTGAGAGTTTTACAAGCTTGCTGATGGAGTCTGGAATGCTGCCACTTAAGCTGTTTCCTTCGAGCCATCTTGGGGGGCGAAATGAGGGGCGAAAACACAGAAGGCGATATTGCACAAATGAGGCTTACCAGGTCAGAGTTGCACAGAAAATATACAGGCTCATACAGATTGGAATAGCGTGATGACGAGAACACTCAATTAGGCATCGGGCCTTTCCTCGTTACATGTCACGCTTTGTAGGCCCTCATCTTTTGTAGCTATATGGAATAAATTTTGAGCACGTAAAATTCCTCCAGGTTGATGAGGTTCCCGAGGGACTCTGGTATGGTCTACAAGAGGTTGTTCACGCCCAGGCCTCCCCGTCTAGAGTCCTCCCAAGCATCCCTGCCTGTGCGCCGGTGCTCCTTCACTACCACTCCTTCCTTCTTGGTCCCTCCCTCCTTGTGCCCTCATCCCCTCTCCTGACCCCAGAACAAGTTCTTCTGGACTGCCAGCAGGCGTGGGGGCACATCTTCACTGACTGGGGCCTTGGAGGAGACAACTGCAACAGCAGTTTTGATCTCATATGTGATGACCAGGGAAAGATAACCGCTACATGAGTGAAAGGAGGCTTGAAGGCTTGAGTCTCGGGCCTGTATCAGAAATGTATGGTGGACTTTCAGCAGGCGTGGAGGCAGATTTCGCTGGTGAGTGGCTGGGGGGAAATGCAGCAATTCAGCGCATGTGATGATCAAGGTATCGGAACCAGCATGAGAGTGCACCACTCCTGGCTTGGCACAAGAGTGCACCAACCCTGGCTTGGCACGAGAGTACACCAACCCTGGCTTTGCACGCGAGTGCACCAGCCAAATATGAACTACTACCCTGCATGTCCTCCCGGAATCTCCCTTTTTTTTCTTCTTCACTCCTCCTTTATCCCCCTTGTCTCATGTAACCCACCCACTACACCCCTCCAGATATCTAAACGACCAAGGCTTAACTGGCTCCATCCCATCATCTATCAGCAGCATGGTCAGCCTGACTCACCTGTGAGTAACAGCTAATCTGGTATGAGAATGACCATGCACGTGTGGGCACAACCTAAAGCGGGCTCTACTACGTTGACTTCTGATGCAGGTGTAAGAAGTATAACAAAAAATAGATGCGTCTACACCACATGTTCCATGTGTCCTTGTGTTGTGTCCTTGCATCCTTATCTATGTGTCTGCTTTGCTTGTACTAGTTTGAGAATACAATGGTAAGGTAGAATTGCATAGGGGATTTGGTTGATTAGAAAGGATCATGCCTGCCCAAACCAGGGTGGATTGGAGGTTTTGAAGGATTGCATTGGGTGAGGTCGGCAACTTGTGAAACATCAGATCCACAAAATTCGACACAGCAGCCTATCTCTAGAATCCTACTCATTTTCCCCCCTAGTGTCTTTGTGTCCTCGTCTTTCATTGCTTTCCAAATCCCTAGATGCTTACAGGTTCGTTGTGATGCATATGCATTTGGTACTTTGGTTGAAACGCCTTCAAGGAACCACTCGTCTTCCTCGCGTAACACTCATACTTAAAACACTCATACTTAACGCTCTCATCGCAAAAAATGTATGCTCGCAGAACGTTTGCTAAGTGAGAAAAAGAATGCTTTGCAAACGTTCGGCGAACACAAGGGTGCAAACACAACAAGGACTAAGATGCGAACACTTCGAGAATGCTTTGACAGCATCACCGAAACACTTTGCGAATGCTTTGACAACATTTGCCGATGATGTCTTGTGCGTTCTGTGACTTCAGGGGCTGTCAAAACAAGTG